ATGGTGAGTTCTAGTCTCGCCTTAGGCATGAAAGTCAGCTGGGACTTCGGGCTAATCACCAGGAGACTGTGTTCTGACCCAAGCCTCGTTCAAAGCAAACCAACACCAAACAGAGATAAAAGCAAAACCTTTGTAATGCTTCTTTGCGAATTCCGTTCATTCACAGTAAAACACTGTTCAAAACTAATTGTCCCAGATAAGAACAAGCCTTGCCAAGGTTGGGCAAAGCTGCCAAAAACCACTAGATTAAATTTCAAGGAAATATTCAAAACCAAAAGTCTCCAAACACAAACCAGGATAGTCTGAACTTCCACAGGACTTGAATTGCAAGAAGTTGTTTGCTTCCTGCAAAGAATCCCACCTCTGAGGGCTGGCTTTTATCCCTTAAGGGAGGGCCCATTACCTTGCACCCTTACTCCCGAGTTGCCCATTCTGCTGCAGCTGCTCTTTCCTTCGAGCAGCCCTGCTTGCACGTGCACTGGGCACAGGCTCCTCGGGGGACTCTTCATTATTGCTGCCAGCCTCCACAAACTCCGAAGGCAGAACTCCACTCCCTGATAGTCCTGGCCCCATCCGTGCATCACAGGCAGGCCCCTCATCTGAGTCCTTACTCTCCGAGACCTCAGCCGTCCACATCTGCTGCTGGTGAACCACAATAGAGTGTGAGTTCTAGTCCTGCCTTAACATCAGGTCACCTCCTACACTTAAGCAGGACAGCCGGCTGGGTGGCTTTGAGCCAATCACCAGGAGACTGTGAATTCTAGTCCCACTTTAGACTACAATGTAGAACAGAACAGAATAATAGAGTGGAGTGGAATAGAACAGAACGGAACAAAATAGAACAGAACGGAATGCTTCTAACTAATATCAAGTAGCACAATGGTTCAGCCATTGAGTTTGTCAGCTGGAAACCTGACAGTCTATGTTTGAGAGCCAGCTATGCAACGGGATAAGTTCCCATTCCTTGTCCCAGCTCCTGACCAGCTAGCAGTTCTGAAGCACGCAAATGCTTAAGTCCTGCAAATGTATCTCCAGTTTCATTTATTCTCGTATGAAAATTTAGAATTTCTAATATTTCAGGAATTGACCTGGGCAGAATTATGAGAAAAGGCTGACAATCCTTTTCACAGGGAAGGAATAAAAGATACCCAGATATTTTGAATCATATAAGACTTGGCAGAACAACTCAAGAAGGAAATTCATGGTTGGACCCTGAAGCTGGAAAAAAAAATATTATTCCTGAATAAAACTACACTTACCTGCTTTTTACTTCTCTGACCCACTGGAAACAGAGCCTTGGACTTCTCTGCAATTTTCTGCCAATTGAGAAATAACAATAATGTCAACGGTATAAAATAATAATAGGAATACAACAGCATCAACGAATATCTTTGATCAGGATTGTGCGGGGATACCTTAGCATTTGTTTACAATGCTCATTTTGCTCCTTGGAGTGGTGCGGTGGCCTAGAGGTGTAGCTCTCACCTCACAATCACACAATCTGTGAGTTCGATGCTAGGTAGAGGCAGATGTTTCTCTCTCTGGGCACAACGAGTGTATAAAACAAAACTCCGCACTGGCAACAGGAAGGGCATCCGGCCATTAAAACATTTGGCTAGCTCCGTTCAGTTCCTAGACTCCACCTCACAAAGAATTATGGGGTGGTTAAAAAATGGTGATGGCTCATTTTGCTCCCCCAAATGAGGGGGAAGTCAATCAGGTGATGGGATAGCTTTGAAAGGATAGGCTTTTATAAGAAAGCTGCGGTCACTTCGATTTCAAAAAACGGGGTTTCCAGATCAAATTCAGCACTGGGAAAAAAACAAAAAAAAAATCTGATAGCAGTTAAGGGTGAGAAAGTGCCAGTCTTGCCTCTCCATCCCAGCCCCTGATGTCACCAGGCCGTTTACAAAGGACCCTTTGGATGGGTTGAAACAGATCACAAGACGTAAGTATAAGGATGGGAAATCACAGGGTTTTGCTGCAGAAACAGCATGTGTGGAACAAAAGGGGTTTTTTTGCTAGTTGAAAGAGGACTGTCACGTGCCTGGGGACAGTCTAAAGTATCTCTTGGAACAGGAGGAGGAAGGAAGGAAGGAAGGAAGGAAGGAAGGAAGGAAGGAAGGAAGGAAGGAAGGAAGGAAGGAAGGAAGGAAGGAAGGAAGGAGGAAGGAGGAAGGAAGAAGGAAGGAAGGAAGGAAGGAAGGAAGGAAGGAAGGAAGGAAGGAAGGAAGGAGAAAGAAAGGAGGGAGGGAGTAGCAAAAAAAGACAGTAGGGAGGGACAGAGGGAGGGAGGAAGAAAGAAAGAAAAAAGGAAGAAAGAAAGAATGAAAGAAGAAATGAGAAAAAAGAAAGGAGGGAGGGAGGAGCAAATAGACAGAATGGAGGGAGGGAGGAAGGAAGGACGGACGGATGAAAAAAAGAAAGAAAGAAAGAAAGAAAGAAAGAAAGAAAGAAAGAAAGAAAG